TTGTAGCGGAATACTGACGCCACAGACACTGAGATTATATGTGTTCTAGGAAGTTTGTGAAGTCCTAGGGCCGATAGTTTAATGGACAGCTCGTCATATCCGATTGTGAAGGGAAGTGGCTGGATTCCCTCCTGCACGGAAGGTTTTTTAAGAATTATCGTGTTTCACGATCATTGAAAGTATGCAGGGCCTCCTATTATAATTGGTTGTTTGGTTAATGTTTCCGCGCCATCTCTTCAAAAGCCGCCTGAATTTTTGTTGAATTTGTGTATTAAAAACTGAGTTAGAAAGCACCGAATAAGCGGTGGGTGATAACTGGAGTCCCAGGTGGAAAGGCTTGATAGCCAGGCTGTACTGGATGTATAAGAGCAGCTGTGGCGGAATATTGACGCCACATATATAGAGATTATATGTGCTCTAGGAAGTCTGTGAAGTCGTAGGGCCGATAGTTTAATGGACAGCTCGTTGTATCCGATTGTGAGGGGAAGTGACTCAGTTCCCTCTTGCACGGAGGGTTTTTTGAGAATTATCATGTCAATTATTGAAAGTATACAGGGTTTTTATTATTTTCAGGTGGCATTGTTCCAGATTTGCGTTCAAGATTGTAGCTATCTCGTGGATGTGGTCACACTTGAAAATCAGCTTACAGAAGAACAGTGGCTGAAATTTTTTAAGGCATTGCTTTGTGACAGTAATGCCACTAAATTAGGTGAGCGAAAGGTTACATTATTGCTTCTTTTTTCCATCGATTTTTCAGGCATTGGTGGGCCGATTGGTCCCTCTTCATGCTAAAGTAGTATTACTTCCTACTGTACTATGAATGCCAGCTTTAATAGTGTTGTGTTGTTTTTTTCTTTGTTTTTCCCTTATTTGATTGAGTCACATCTTTGTACTGTTTGATTTAGTTGTACGCTTTTTAAATGCTTCAGATTTTCAGGATTTGATTTGGTGAATGATATGAGAGTTGTACGTGCAACGTTCCCGTTTTTGCAACCATTGCCCGAAATGAAAAATCTCATTTGTATATTGAAACTTGTAAACAGCGTAAGTTGTTTCCACTGCAATCATATTTTATCCTTATTTAACCCGCGGTACTTCTGAATGACTTCCCCTCGTTAAGAGTGAAATTTTGGAGCAAAGGTGGGAGGGAAGTGACTTTTGACCTAACTTTCTGAAAGTACCAGTAATTCGAAATGTTATGCCGTTACAGTAGTGTTACCAAAATGGCATAAAATGCGTCCAAAAGTTGCTTAATCGTTCTGAAAAGTTAACTGTTAGACTTAATGTCGCTGGCTGGGGTATTAAAACGGAAATAAAGTTAGAACAATTTCGAGACCTTTTTCTTTTTCATTCCTTTTCTCTTCCCTTTTCACCCCACTCTTACTCCTTAAAATCCCACAGTCATATCGTTTCCTCTTCTGTTTCTTCCTGTCGTCTTTCTCTTTTCTTTTCCTTTTCCATTAAGCAGTGCGATCGTCTTACTAACGAGGTCCTGCCGCGGTGTTAAGTCGTATATGATTTAATGGACCGAAATGTCTTATCTCACTCTTACCTTCTCTCGTACTGTTCTTTCATGCTGTAATTTATCGCGCCTTCCCCACTTAGGCTTCCGGAATTAACCTGGTTGCTACAATCAGCTTAGAAGTCTAGTCCCCGTGCCATAACCGATTTTCTACGAAAGACATAGGTAGTGCACCCACTGGCAGGATTATTGATGGATTCCTCTTCCTAGGGCTTTTCGAAAAAAGCTTGTGTTTTGGACTTATTAAGAGATTTTGTGTGTTCCTATGTTCGTGAAATGTAACTGTTGAATAGAATAATGCACTACTTAGACACTGCTGTTGCATCGTAGTGTTTCTTCTGGACATTGCTGTTCCTATTCAGAAGCAGGCTTTTGATGATCTCCTTGCATTTGCCAGTAATTGGGATATTGGAAATAGCTTTTACTTCGAGATGTGAAAGTTGTCTTCTTTTTTTCCTATTTCATTAAAAACTTATTTTTGTAAATATATTTCTT